GTCCCGTTCATAAAATTGATAGTTCCTCCCTCCTAACCAACCCCGGTAAATCCACCCACATCACCACATGCCCTAATCCGAACACAACCACACTCCTTCAGTTGCACCTCCAAGTTAATTTGATTTTGGAGTAAAAAATTTGACTCCAAACTTAAATAAACTTGGGGGTGCAATTGAAGGGGGTGTAGATTGTGTTTGGATCGAGATAGGGTGAGGGTTTACCAGGAGGTTATGGAGTATGAATTGTCAATTTTACTAATAGAGCACTAACCATTTTATGAAACTAAATTTCAATGTCAAAGGAACCGTCCTTCCAAAAGACCCTTTATGAAATTTAACATTTTATTTGTACTACCTCCGTCCCACTCTTTTTGTCCAGTTTTGACTTTTGGAACTGTTCATCTAAGCACTTTGACTCATCAAATTCTCTCAATGTGTAAGTCTAAAAATAGTCATGTGTGATCTTGTTTGATTTGTCTTAACATATAGATTATTAATATATAATTTTTATAATTTTTTAATATACAAATTACAAGATAAAATGGATTAAAGAAGTGCATTGGATGGTGTGCAAAAATGAAAGTGGACAAAAAGAGTGGGACGGAGGGAGTATATGCTTTGTAGTGATAAAACTATAAGAGTAATGCTAGAGTCACAAAAAAATAGTTCACAAAATTTACAAACTTGCCTTTTTANAGCACTAACCATTTTATGAAACTAAATTTCAATGTCAAAGGAACCGTCCTTCCAAAAGACCCTTTATGAAATTTAACATTTTATTTGTACTACCTCCGTCCCACTCTTTTTGTCCAGTTTTGACTTTTGGAACTGTTCATCTAAGCACTTTGACTCATCAAATTCTCTCAATGTGTAAGTCTAAAAATAGTCATGTGTGATCTTGTTTGATTTGTCTTAACATATAGATTATTAATATATAATTTTTATAATTTTTTAATATACAAATTACAAGATAAAATGGATTAAAGAAGTGCATTGGATGGTGTGCAAAAATGAAAGTGGACAAAAAGAGTGGGACGGAGGGAGTATATGCTTTGTAGTGATAAAACTATAAGAGTAATGCTAGAGTCACAAAAAAATAGTTCACAAAATTTACAAACTTGCCTTTTTAACACTTTCCTAAAAATGAGATATACTCAAATAATAAAAGATATTTTAATTTAAAATACACAAAAGGCAAGTTTGTGAAGTTTGTGAACTATATGTTTGTGAATCTAGCATTTTCCAAACTACAAGAGACAGAGACGGGAGAGAGAGGGAGACGGAAACGGAAAGGCTGAAATGAATGAGAACCCCGCCATCGCTTCTTTCGCTCGCCATTGACTCTGCCCTTATTAACCTCTCCTTCATCTCCGATCTCTCCTCCTTGCCCGATCACATCCTCGTTGACCTCTTCCTGGTACGCTCTCTTTCTCCTTCTCTACACCACATCTCCCGTCACCCCTTTCAATTCTTCATTTTCAGTCTGATTTCACCGTAACTTTGTGCGTTTATGAATCATTTCTATTTCTAGGTAGCCTTTTTTTAATGTGGTGTTTCAATTTTCGCGTATGGATTTGCTCGAATCTTACCTTGTTTGATCTGGTGAAATTTTATTTTGTACTCCTGTTGTAATTTCGTGGATGGCCGGGTAATCTCTCTTTTCAGATGTACTGGAAAGAAGATTTTTTTGAAAATTAACATGTTTTTTTGTTGTTCTTGCTGTTAATTTTACGATTTCCTCAATTGCGTGGTTGCAATTGTTTCCCTTGGAAAAGGGATCTTCGTGATGAATAGGGAGTTTTAACCTTTTAGGTATGATGGCATTTGAATCCATGGTTTCACTTTTTTTTTTTAATGATAAAAATTTTTCTGAGATCTTATGAATTTTATTTCTTCAAATGTTGAAAAAGATACCAACATGTTTCTAAACTTCTTGCCCAAGCCAGAATAAGTGCCATATGGGCTATTTTTGGAATTGATCCCACTTAGTGTATGATCCCAATAGCTGTAAATCCAGTATATCCTGAAATGTCTGACTAATGATAACTTTTTCTTCAAATGCTGGTGAAAACTGGCAATTTGTGTCATTGCCGTAGTTCCATGTGTTGTTTCTTCAAATGTTATTTTTTATTTTTCTCAGAAAACATTAAGAGCTGGAAAGCTGACTGAGAAGATTTTGAAGCTGTTTGTGGCTACTGGCAAAGAAGAAATCATTTCTCTGATTGAGTCTTTCAACATCCAAGCTGTTCTCACTCCTATTCTCCCCACCAGTAAGTCATGCATCCATATTCCTATTATGATCCAAGAGATTCAGGATGTTGTGCAAGTATAAGAATTTAAATTTCTACCTTTTTTTTGGTAATCCAGGATGCTGTGAGAGGAAGTTCTGACCTTGCTTATATCAACTGAATCTAGTTATTATCTTGTTTTTTAAATCAAAAACTGATAAAATGTCAGAAGTGAGCATCAGAGATGATGAGATTGACATTGTTATTGGTGCACTCCAGCCCGATCTCACGTCATTCTTGGAAGAATGGAGACCGATCTTCTCCAGATTCCACCTCATAATCGTCAAAGACCCTAACCTCCAAGAAGAACTCAACATCCCTGGTGGATTCAACCATCATGTCTATACAAAATCTGATATCCAACGCATTCTCAGCTCATCAAACACTGACCTCTTCTGCGGCTACTCATGCAGATACTTCGGTTATCTCATCTCTAACAAAAAATATATCATCTCAGTTGATGATGATTGTTTCCCAATAAAGGATCAAAACACTGTTGATGCAATCACCCAACACATCATCAACCTTAAAAGTCCAGCGGCACCCTTTTTCTTTAACACCCTATACGACCCTTTTCGTGAAGGAGCAGACTTTGTCCGTGGGTACCCTTTCAGCATGAGAAGTGGTGTACCTTGTGCATTGTCGTGTGGACTATGGCTTAACTTGGCAGATTACGATGCTCCCACACAGGCCCTCAAGCCGGACCAGAGGAACTCGCGGTACGTCGATGCTGTCCTAACCGTGCCTGCAAAGGCAATGATGCCTGTGAGCGGGATCAACATAGCCTTTGACCGTGAGTTGGTAGGGCCCGCTCTCTTACCGGCTTTCAGGCTAGCAAAGGAAGGGAACCTGAGGTGGGAAACAATGGAGGACATATGGAGTGGGATGTGCGTGAAGGCAGTGTGTGATCACTTGGGCTTCGGAGTGAAGAGTGGGGTACCCTATGTTTGGAGGAAAGAGAGAGGGGACGCAATAGAGAGCTTGAAGAAGGAGTGGGAAGGTGTGAAGGTGATGGAGGAAGTGGTTCCTTTCTTCCAGTCCTTGAAGCTGTCACCACAGGCAACCACCGCAGAAGCTTGCATTACTGAGATCGCTGCGGCTATTAAAGGGCAATTGGGGAATTCGGAATCTGTGTTTTCTCGCGCTGCTGAGACTATGGTGGAGTGGGTCAAGCTCTGGAAGACGGTGAAAACGCAGTGACACCATTCACGTTGTTGGTTGAGGTGTTAAGGTTACTCCAACAGTTTCTATTGTTTTGCCTTGCCTGTTAGTTAAATGCCCATAAGTCTTTTGATGAAGTTGATGTTGTCGTCTACTCTTTCTGCTTCCATGAGAATCACTGTCCTTCATACCCACTACAAGTTGACATAGAACTCTTTGAGTGTTTATTATGTGGCACTCAGTATAATAAGCATATGTTGATAAAAAATATTGATTAAAAAACCGGTTGTTTTGTAGTTGTGACACTTTTGATTTGATATGCCTTCAGCTTATAAGTATTTTTTTTACACAGCACTAATTTGTTTTAGTTTTCTTGCTGAATCCATTAATAATGAGAGATGTAATGGAATCCACTATTTTTTAGCTTTGGGTGTGGTGGAATAAACAAAATGAATCTCTAAATTATTAATGAAGTAGCACTGTAGCAGTTAGTCAATTGATTCAATTCTTGACGTTGAGCTGAGGGTCTTTTTCGAAATAGCCTCTACTTTAGAGTAGGTAAGGTCTGTGTGTACAGGCACTCTCCCCAGACTTTACTTTTGTTAGATTCAACTTGGTTGTTGTTATGCTATGTATTCTGGCATACGGTGACATGAAACTACATGTACTATATGAAAAATAATATAGAATTAAAGAAAATTACATATTTAAAAACTAAATCAAAAAGTCTAAAAAACAAGTGGTGCCATGACTATTTTATTTTATTAAATAACTAACAAAAATAGAGAGAAAAAAAAGTGAATGAAGATTGATCTAATAAATAGTTAATAGACAACTTAATTTGGGATGAAGGAAATAATTTACTTTTGTTTTATTTTGCTGGAATGGTTGAGATGGTAGATAAATGACATTGCAATAAGTTTGTAGTACTTCATTTTCTGTGCTTCCCAAAATCGCTTATTACGTCTTAGTGGAGAGCATTATGTGGTTTATCACGTTTCTGTCCTTTTTAAATTTCAAATGCATTTTTCATCATGTCTTAGTGTCAACAATGCCACGATTTGAGCATTGTCATGTTACAGGAGAATGTTTTTTAATGCATTTTCAGCTACTATGGCTATTTCAACATGATTTGAACTTAGTGTAAGCTCTGTCAAAAAGAAACAACCCTAGTTGAAAAACAATTCCTTCAAAAAGCTCTTAATGGATGCCCCAAAAAGACTTAAGTTTGAAAACAAGCTTTTGTAAATTACGATAGCTTATCTGGGAGAAAACACTCTCGGAAGAGTTTTTATCAAATACTTTTAGGCTCCGTTTAGTACACAGAATTCAAGTTATAGAATTGGGATTGGAGATTTCAATTCCAATTCTGAGGGTTGGTAGCACCAAAATATGTGAATTTAGAATTGGTAGTTCAAAAAATGAATTAGAATTGGAGAATTCAATTCTATAGAATTTCAATTCCAATTCAATTCCAAATCTGTCAATTCTATGTACCAAACGGACCCTTAATGAACTCCCACAAAAACTCCTTGCCAAGCATCACCACATTGCTAAAAAGCTTCTTTATTACAGTAAGAAATTTCCCAAGAACCAAGCTGTTATATTTTGCAGAGAAATCTTATTAGAATACACACTGAGAGTACTGTAGAATGGCACAACTGCATAGGGAAGGAATGATCAGCCAGCAGATGGGATGCAATAGAGAAAGAATGTGCTTTCTTCTTTGACTTTCAAAACTAGGAGTCAACCGTGGAAGGCGTAAAGCACTGTCTTATAGAGAGCAAACTGTGAGGACGACGCTGCGGTGTTTTAGTTTCTGACTCATCGACTTCCTTGCGAGGATAATGCTTATAGAAAGCTTTGACCGCTCCGGTTGCACCATCTTCGTTTTCCATGGCTTTTGACAGTTCAACCGCACTTTCTTTCACCTACATTATTAACATCACAAGCAATTTATTGAAAGAAAAGTTGACAATGTTAATGATTGTCTCTCTTTACGTGTTCACGTTTCAAGGAAGCAATAAATTTATGGATGGAGAAATGTAGTGGCAGAAATGATCCACTTTTTATATTCTAAAGAGGCAATTATTTGGGAGCACAGTTTTCTCCGCAAATGCAGCGAAAAGAGAACAGAAGCGCGAGTTACTAAAACTACTGATAATTTTTTCCCCATACATTACCTTTTTAGTACTTGATTTATATCATCACTTGCACTTTCAGTCATCTGCTATTTTTTTTTTACATACAAAGCATTTCCATTTTCAACCTCCTAGTACCTTTAGAACCCTAATGACGGAAGAAATATATTTCCCGTTTTTGAAGGCTAGTTTGGGAAAACATGGGACTGAAAATGCAGAGCTTATTTATGCGAACACTACCAGTGTCCCTCGGGTATAACTCAAGACTTCAAATGTCTTATGAACTATATACAAGTCATGCAGAGGATGATGGTAATGACAATTATTACCCGACCAATGAGGCTTCAAGTTTTACCTTTGGGTCCAGCATGAACTTGATGGCAGCAACCAGCTTCTCAAGTGAAAACTCATCTACAGGAATAGGTGCAGGACCAACTCCCCTAGCATGTACCCGATCACCCCAAAACGGTTGGTCCCCAAAGAAAGGTACCACAGTTGTAGGGCACTGAAAAAACATAACCACCCCATAAATAAATTAGCCAATGAAATGACCACTACTCCTTAAATATGGAAAAAGTAGGTTGAGAAGACTTAGGGCCCATTTGGTAAATGTTATTTGATTAAAATGACATATATGCTGATTTTTTTCCAAATAAAAACATTTTGTAACATCCATTTCAGCTAGATAAACAGAACAAGACAGATAAAGCTATCAAAGGGAGTCTTAGCTATTACCGCAGCTCTAAGGCCGGCAGCAGTTGTTCCGGCACCCCCATGATGCACCTGATTCCACAGTAAGTACATTTGTTAATTAAGTTGATTCTTCATGTTACGAATATGACAGTATAAATATGTTCAACAGATCATTATCCGAGATCAGGATTTACCACGGCAGAACATTGCAAAAACAGCCAATCATGCGGGCAATTATCCAACAAATACACATCATCCTTCGGCTCCTTTACTGCAACAAGAACGCATCATTTTCGCAATTAAGGAACCTTAGCATTCTGGTAACAGAGAAATGCCAACTATGGTATACAAAACTCTTTTCACTTACAGTTCCCAAGCCCACCCCACCCTTTGTTGATTATGCCTCTCTGTCCTGTGATCTCCAATGCTTGAACAATGATCTCCGTCATTTTTTCTGGCTCTTGAACAGGCTGCAAGAATGCATGGCATATATAGATATAAATACACATAATCCACCAACTTTACTCCCTCCTGTCATGCAAATTGAAAAGATCATCCAGTCTCAACTCTCAATTCCAGATGGACAAAATTATCTGATTATGAGTAATGTTTATAAACACTCTCTTTATAAGATGGAGCTGGAAAAGAAAAATAAGTCAAATTGATCACCAACACTTACAAGGCTGCCAAAGCCAATGTAGATGGGCTTTTGGCCATCTTCAAGCCATTTCAAAAGTGGTGCTGGCGGAACATAATTAGAGGCAAGATCTAGGAAACAAAACCCAACAACATCTGTTTTGGGACCCCAATCTGCAAATCATGGAAAGTTAAGTCCATTAGAGTACTGACACTGACAGATAGAATTCATAAAGAAACAGTTACCACTGATAAGGATACATGTTTCCTGTTGTGTGGAAAGTGTAGAATGATAAGTATAGCAGAGACTAAATATAAGCTACATTGGTAAAACCATCGGTAATTTGTTGCATACTGGAGTAATATACAGCACCCAGTTGAAGAAAAAAGAAAATCTTGAAGTTTAAATTTGGAAGCAAAAGCAACAGCTAGAGTAGTAGAAGGCAAAAGATTGAGTTTTGATCAAAACAATGGTTTATAGTCTACCTCAACACAGTACTTTGATGCACTGTTTATCACATATCAATTTTTAAATCAAAAGATGTAGATCTAATGTAGTGTCCCTAATGGCTCAAAACACAATATATATATGGTCATTACATTATTAAACCGCATCAGGTGAGGGTATACGAAAAAATGACCTTTGGGTTTAGGAACAAGGTGTGGACTCCATATATATCCATGTGGAATTTCAGGTGAACTGAAAGAACCAGTAAGATATGTAAACCGCCTCAATTTCAATTTTTTCCTCCTGAACTCGTTTATAACATCCCGTATGCCAAGCCAGATTAATGAATCAACAATTTGATAGGATATCTGCATAGAAGTTCAAGTGCTGTCCAATGAATGAAACTGCAAGAAAAATGATTCACATCAAGATTTCAATTAGGAGGAATGGGTCACATCACTAGGCACCGACTTTGAATCCAACTTGTTGCTTAACACGAGAGAGAGGATGTGGGAAGTAACTAGTAGGCCTGGAAAATAAAACAGTGGGAGAAATTAAATAGCATAAAAAACTTTTTATAGATCATTGCAAACATTAGGGACCCACAGGTACAAATACTGCATGGAAAGAGAAGTGGAAAAACTTACGTCCATGGCATTGTGAAGAATATATGCAGTGGTACATTCAGGGCCATTGCAACGTGGGTATGCCCTGAAGAATCATCAATGTGAATGATCAGTAAAATATACTCAATCTACCAGCTCTACTTGTTAATGCCAGAAAATGCTACTGATGTATCAAGCAAGTTATCAGAAGCATTAAATTTAGACTTCTTGGTGTCTACTTTTATAATGAGATACAAAACCAGGGGATGCATTATTGTATAAAATATGTTGGTGTGTATGTGGAGTTTGGAGACATTTTCTTAAGGGGCAAGAAGAGACCTGATGAATACAATTATTGAACATAAATCAAATTGCAATGCATCATGCCCATGGATTCACCATCTGAACTCACTCACCACACACACACACACATCAATTATCACAGACACATTTCTCTACCTTCTACACTCTGTTGTTTATCGTGCTGACATATTTCTTTAGACATACAAATGTGGGAGCACACAAGCACAGATGATGGAAATAAAAGATTACGATGGAAATTAAAGATTTTACCATATGCCGGGGGGTTGGCAATGATGGCATCTACTTTGAATGGATGATTAGATTCTGGATCAGGATCTATGCATGCCGGAAGTAAGGAGAAAACTATATCTCGTATCTCCTTACGTTGAATATGTATCTCAGAAGGCCCAGATGGCAAAAATCCTTTGTTTTTTACCATATCTGCAATAGCCATAGTTATTGAAATGAGTAGCTAATTCTTCCCCTTGTAAACAATATATTAGCAAACTATGATGCTTTTACTCATCACTTTATATTATGTAATTACAATGCTATGGTTGATGCTAGTTCTTATTGCAGTTTCTCAAGTAAACTGGAAAAACTAATATGAACTCAATTCTGGAGTGCACTTCATTATATAGTATATACCATCACTGCACCAAAAAAGAAAACAAAAGAAGGCAATATAGAAATGTTCTCAAACGTACAAGCTGCAAGGACTTTTGGGTCCCCACCAAGAGGATAAAACTCTAACCCAGACTCCAAAACAAAGTCTCTAAAATTGGCATGAGTAGCCAACCTCACCCGATGACCATGTTCCTGCCAAATGAAAAATGTTGATCATCTGGTAAAATGATAAATACTTTAATCTAAAGGATTCAATACCAATCAGGACATACTAATAGCATGATGGGAAGAATTAGAGGATGTTCATGCAAATACAATGCTCTCATCAACAATGAAGGGATGTTTCACGAAGAAACAAGCCCTTATATTTCCCATGGTCAGTCCCAAAGTTTTCCTCTATGAAAGGTTTTAACCTGTAGTTTTTTTCCAATCGCAATAAATGGTTGTACATCTCCTCTGGTTCCAACAATTAGCATAACAATTTGCAACGGAGGCAAGTTTTGAATATCTTCCACGTCATTATTAGCTTCCTCTGTAGCTCCGTTGTCAACAATGTTGTTACCAAAGTCAAGGAGTTCAGGTTTGATGTCTCCAGGAACCTCAAATTGTACAGTTCCATCATCCTGAATGGTGGCAACTCTTTTTAACAATTTGTGCTGCACGCATCGCAAAAGTTCCATCTTTACCATCAGTTTAATGCCCACATATAGATGGATATCTCAGTTGATATTTGGAAATATACGCACGCATTGCAAAAGTCAACACTCTCCAATAACACAAGTCAAATGCATCCATGGTATAAATTAAAAGTATGTGAGCTACAACTAGAGGATTTTCTTAGTAATGTACCAAGCTGAGCTGACCTTCTTTCTAAATGATATTTTTTCATCAAAAAACTTTGCAGCTAGCAATGCTAGAGAGTGTGGTCTGCCATTCTCAGTTTTATTAAGCTGATTAGTCGATGGGGGTACTGGATCTGTTGGGAAAAGGAAAAGATTACAAAATCTGAGAGTAGTATGAACACTGAACAGAACTTACCTAACATATCCAATATTAGCACTAATCAGGACTATGAAGAGAGTAAGAAATCTCCCTCCAACGAATAATTGCATAGAAATGCCCCGTGAAGGGTCTTCTCGGAACACTAATTTCATACAGTTATGGGAGATTTATCTTATTTCGAAACAAAGAAATGGAAAATGAGAAACAGTACGTACGAGCTACATCAACACCTGTGCCGCTATGCGTGGAGGATCCGCTTCCATTGGTATCGCCGCTATCGGATTTGGCCTCCGATGCCAAGTCGACGGATACCTCGCCAGAGCTAATGGATTTCCGATCTCTGGGATGCCGACGCGGTGAGTGCTCCATTGTGGAATTGGGGAGATGGCGGAAATCCCTGGATGAAAAATGGGGAGATTGCCCAGGTTGGAATGGAGAAGAAAAGCAGGAGAATAAAGGAGGAAGAAAAAGAGAGAAAAGGATCGATTGAGATTTACCGGCTAGTTTGCATCCATGCGTTGCCGGTGCCGGCGAAGGCAAACGCTTTTTCGCGGCGAGATGGGGACCGTTGGATTTGGAAGACGCGCCCTTCAAGATTGCGACTTCTATGAAGCCATGAAGTGTGATTATCCTAAGCTAACTCCCGGTTCCCTTGACATTGGAATGATTGGAATGATAGGATCATTCTGATACCGTTAGTAAAATTGACGGTTTCCCTAACCTCCCGAAAAAATCTCTATCTCGCCCCGATCCGAACACACCATCAACCCCTTCAATTGCATCCCCAAATTAATTTTGAGTTGAAATTAAATTTTGACTCCAAAGTCAAAATTAACTGGGAGGTGTAATTGAAGGGGTGAGGTGGTGTGTTCGGGTCGGGGCGGAATGGGGTCTGCCAGGGGGTTAGGGGGTAAAAACCGTCAATTTTACGAACGGGACACCGGAGCATTCCCAGATCATCCTATGACATTTGGAACCGGCCTCATGTTACCCATGTTGATCAATTCTTAAACATAAAATACAAATTAGGAATTTAATCATGTGTACCTGATAATCCTGTAAACGTAGTTAGGGATGATGCCATGATTCTCACGCAGATCGAGTTCCCGTTTAGGGTGTATCACTATGATGGCTAAGGTGAGGATGAGACTCACGAGAATAGAGAGGCAGAGAGAAGGCATGAGATTGGTGTGTTGATCTCTGCCTAATGACCTATATATATATATATACACCCAAGGGGAAACCCTAATTAGGTCATAAGGGTAATTACGTCCATCGAATAATTACCAAATAAATACGTAGGGTATTTATTAGGTCAATGATCAATTAATTAGATAAATGATAACTCAAGCCACATAATAAAATCATGTCCAACATTCTCCCACTTGGCCGAGTAATCATTTATGATGAGTATTAGATAAGTCTTATCAGATTTTAATACTCATTTTAGTTCTAAACCGAAATTGTAGCAGAGAAATACAGTCATTGAATCGATATTCAATTCAAGACCCCTATTAATCATACTACAATACCAAATTTAAAACTTAAATAAGCTAAGGATCAAATTGACAATTAAGCCCAAAACATTATTTTGTATATAAATGTTGTCTATATGTCTTTAGGCATGCATAGACACATTCAGAGACAAAACAAACAAAACAATGAGGAAATTTTATTATTAAATGTAAGCAAGTACAATATGCAACTAAATAAGGTCTTTAGATAACCTCATCTTCGAAACATGTTCTTCGAAAATCTTAGGAGGGAGACCTTTAGTCATCGGATCCGCTAGCATATTCTTAGTACTTATATGCTCAATACAAAGTTTATTTTCTTCAACTCGCTCACGTACGAACAAGTACTTTGTATCAAGATATAAAGCAGCGCCAGTCGAACTGTTACTGTTCGAGAAACTAACGGCGGCTGAGTTATCACAATAAAGCTTCAATGGTCGAGAGATGGAATTAACTACTTTGAGTCCAGTGATGAGGTTTCTAAGCAACATCACATGACAGGTTGCGTTGTACACCGCAATGTATTCTGCCATCATTGTAGAAGTTGCAGTCAACTCTTGCTTATGACTCTTCCACGAGATAGGTCCGCCAGCTAACATAAAGATATACCCTGAAGTGGATTTCTTGTCATCTTTGCACTTAGCAAAGTCAGAATCAGAATAACCAACCACTTCTAAATTATCACTCCTTCTGTAAGTCAATTTATAGTCTTTTGTCCCTTGTAGATATCGAAGAACTTTCTTAGCTGCTTTCCAGTGATCAAGACCAGGATTAGTCTGATAACGACCCAACATTCCAGCAATGTAAGCGATATCTGGACGAGTACAGACTTGTGCATCCATAAGGCTTCCTACTACTGACGCATAAGGTATCATTCTCATCTGTTCCTTTTCAACCTCTGTTTTCGGACATTGAAATACACCGAAAAACATCTCCCTTAACTACTGGAGCCACAGAAGGAGAGCAATGTTGCATGTTATAACGTGTAAGGACACGCTCAATGTAAGCCTTTTGAGATAATCCCAAAATACCATTGATTCTATCTCGGTGTATTTCGATGCCAATAACATAAGAAGCCTCTCCGAGATCTTTCATGTCAAAATTACGCGAGAGTAAGCGCTTGGACTCATGCAACATGTCTAAACTATTACTTGCCAATAGAATGTCATCTACGTAAAGGACAAGTATAGTNTTATGAAACCTTCTGACTTCAAGACTTGATGCAACTTTAGGTACCATTGACGTGATGCCTGCTTCAACCCGTATATGGATTTCTTTAGCTTACAGACTATATGCTCTTGACCTTCAGATTTGAATCCTTCGGGTTGTTTCATGAACACTTTTTCATCCAAATCGCCATTAAGGAAAGCGGTTTTGACATCCATCTGATGTAGCTCTAAGTCAAAGTGAGCTACAAGGGACATAACGATCCTTAAGGAATCCTTTCGAGAGACAGGAGAAAAGGTCTCTTGATAGTCAATTCCCTCTTTCTGAGTGTAGCCTTTTGCAACCAATCTCGCTTTGTAGCGTTCAATGTTTCCATTCAGGTCTACTTTTGTTTTGAAGACCCATTTACATCCTACGGGTTTTACACCGTTGGGTAATTCAATCAAATCCCAAACATCATTTTTCTTCATTGTGTCAAGTTCTTCAATCATGGCTTTACTCCATTCAGAAGACTAATCACTGTTAATGGCTTCATTATAAGAGGTAGGATCGGTAAAATTTCCAGCATCCATTTCTGCTTCAGTCAGGTAGGTAACATAATCATCAAAGTTAGTAGGCCTTTTAGACCTAGATGACCTCCTGAGCAAACTTTCGGGTTGAGCATTGGTGGCATTGTCTTGATGGTGATCATTTGAGGTGTCTTCATTTCCAGGTACATTTGGAGTAGGAGGTGGTGCAGTGTCCTGTGGATTAGCATCGAGTACAAGAGGAGTAATTGGAGGTAAAGTAATCGACAAGTCTCTCCCCCCCGCGTCTTGTACTTCTAGCAATTCATCATAAGGGTTTTCACTGCTCCCACTGACCTTAAAATCTTCAAGGAAATGAGCATCTTTGGTTTCTACAATGCGAGTGACGTGGGAAGGACAATAAAATCTGTAACCCTTTGAGTGAGAGGGATAACCAATGAAGTAGCAAGTTACAGTTTTCATGTCGAGTTTCTTCAAGAAGGGATTATATATAAAGTTTAGCTTCGGCAAGACAACCCCATACTTTCATATATCTTAGACTCGGTTTCCTTCGTGTCCAGAGTTCATAAGGAGTTTTAGGGACAGCTTTAGAAGGAACCCTATTGAGTATATGAACGGCTGTTTTTAAGGCCTCAGTCCAGAGAAATATAGGTAAACCTAAGTTGGCTAACATACTGCGTACCATGTCCATTAGGGTCTTATTTCTTCTTTAGCAACACCGTTTTGCTGAGGAGTACCAGGCATAGTATATTGGTTCACGATCCCCTGGCCCTTACAAAACTCATAAAATGGACCAGGAGCTTGACCCACATCAGTATGTCTACCATAATATTCACCTCCTCTATCTGATCTTACAACTTTTATATGACGATCAAGTTGTTTTTCAACTTCAGTTTTATAATCTTTAAAAGTTGTAAGTGATTCAGATTTTTCCTCAATAAGATACAAGTACATATAACGAGAATAATCATCAATATAAGTGATAAATGAGTTATGTCCAGTTATGCCAGTGATAGAGTATGGACCACTAATGTCAGTGTGAATGAGCTCTAATAAATTAGAACTCCTAGTGGCACCTTTCTTATTCATTGATGTCATTTTACCTTTAAGGCATTTGACACATGTTCCAAAATCATTGAAATCGAGAGATGGTAACACTTCATCCTTCACGAGTCTAGATAAACGTTCTCGTGAAATGTGGCCTAAGCGTTGATGCCACAACATGGATGAAGTTTCTAAGTCTCGTTTTCGTTTTCTCTTTGTTAGTGTCTAATTGATATTATATGACAACAAAGATTTGGAAAAATCATCATCTAGTTTTAATTTATAGAGACCACCATCCAGAAAACCATGACCAAACACTTGAGAATTGAAACTAATAGTAAGTCTGCCATGACCATGAGAAACATCAAAATCGTCTGTGTCTAACTTTGGTCCTGATACTAAATTCCGAGTAATCTCAGGAATATATAAGGTATCATAAAGTTTAATACATAAAACTGTTTTCATTATTAATTCTAAGGTTCCCACGGCTTCGACAATTAGTTCTGTTCCATTCCCCAGCTTAAGTGTTCTTCGATTTCTTTCCAGCTTCTGGATTGTAAGGAATCCCAAAAGTGAGTTGGTTACATGAACCATAGAATCAGAGTCAAACCACCATGTATTAGTTGGAACATTTAAATTAAAGGACTCAAGTATCATGTAAAGATGATTATCTTTCTTCGTCAGCCACTCCTTAAAGTCTTGGCAATCTTTCTGTCTATGTCCTTCCTTGCGGCAGAACTTGCAGTAAGACTTCCCTTTGGAGTTCTTAGAGCTGGAAGAAGCACTTGCATCACGTTTTTGGACTTTAGAAACATCCTTCTTATCGACATTGCCTTCCTCTTCTTTGGATTAGCGGTCATGAGGTAAGCCACATTAGGTTTGTCCAGCTTCAGACGCTCTTCTTCTTGTACGCACATAGCAATCAACTCATTCATCGACCACTTGACCTTCTGGGTGTTGTAGTTGACCTTGAAAGCTTCAAAAGATGCAGGAAGAGAAGTCATTATAAAGTGCACCAGAAAACCTTCACTGATCTCCATGTCTAATCCCTTGAGCTTGCGGGCCATGTCGTTCATCATCATGATGTGCTCACGAATGCCGCTATTCCCGTCATATTTTGTAGTCACCATCTTCAAAATAAGAGTACTAGCATGTGCCTTATAAGTTGCTTTGAATTGTTCCTCCACGGAAGCCAGATATGTTTTAGCATTAGATGAATATGGAATAGCTCCCCTGATGATTATGCTGATGGAATTTTTAATGAGCATAAGAGCCATTCTGTTGCACCTCTCCCATCTCTCATGTACTATTTTATCTTCAGCAGTACTTTTATCAGTGAGGGCAGGAGGGGCAGACTCTCTCAGTGCATAATCAAAATCCAACATGCCAAGAGTTATTATCAGTGAATCTTTCCATGAAGAAAAATTCGCACCGTTCAAGGTTTCAATTCCCATATTTGGGACTGATAGTGGATTCAGATGAGAGAAATAAGACACATAACTAAAGAAGAACTTAAGGGGTAATGAATTAAGGCTGGCAAAAATAAGGACCAATATATACTAATGAAGCTGTGATAAGAGTCTATTATAACCCCAAAATAATAGACTAAATGTAATTCTACTTAAACAAATGGCTTTCACTTTGGTTATGACCACTTATTTAAGTATTATGAATAATAAAATAATGATGTGCAATTTGAATGTAACACATCACCTTTGGGCAGAAGTGAAACATTTAAATTTTAATGCACATATATATTTAGTTCGCAGTACACAATTATAACACATCATCTTTGGACAAAAGTGACATATTATGTATTTAAGGCGAGTGTCATGCAAACATTTATGCACTAAGTGACAAAGTTTAATAAGACTTGAAATAAATTTTACAAATGTTACACATCACCTTTGGGCAGAAGTGTAATCTTAGGTATTATTCAAGTTAAGCAAAATAAATCAATTTAACTAATCATAAAATAATTTCTATTTAAATTAGTCAAATGATTTGTAAATTTATTGTTAATACTCCGTAATTAATTAACTGCAAAAGTTAAAGCGGTTCGGGGCGGGGCTTTGAAAAATTGGGGACCCATTAAGATTAATTTAATTAGAAAATCAAAAGGCATATAAGGCAAGAGATTTTCCAACAACAAAAAAAATTAAATTAATTTTTTTTAAAATGGTATTTTAACATATCCCTTACTTAGTTTTGCTATTCTTGGTAAAATAAGTCAATAAAATAAGAAAAAAGAATATATTATGCAAAAGTGAGATATGCCATTCAATTTAAGGAAACACAATCATATTCCAAATCAAATACCAAAACAAGATTATTTCATCATAATAAGGATGAAGAATAACACTAATAATCTATTTATTCGTAATTGCAGGAATCAAAAACATTAAGCAATAGGTTTTATTTTATTTTAAACTCACTGGAATGGAATCCAAAGTAAAAAAAACAATTGATTTTGAGGGCTTAGTCCGATTTTGCAGCGAAAGAAAATAAAGCCACAAGTGAATTATTGTGGAGACACCATTATTGATCCAAATCGAAAAAAAACAACAATTTCAAAAGGAATTTCACATAGTCGCTTTCCGATTCGAATTACAGCACTGAAAACATAAGGCGATAAGAATTGATTACGTAAGGGATGGAAACTAATTTCCGATCCAATTTTATCGGATCTTTAATGGAGAAAAAATTCGGTAGTTTGATTTCAGCAAAACAATAAGGATTGATTAATCAACATAAAGCTTTGATACCACATGTTGATCAATTCTTAAACATAAAATACAAATTAGGGATTTAATCATGTGTACCTGATAATCCTGTAAACGTAGTTAGGGATGAGGTCATGATTCTCACGCAGATCGAGTTCCCGTTTAAGGTGTATAGTTATGATGGCTAAGGTGAGGATGAGACTCACGAGAATAGAGAGGCAGAGAGGAGGCGTTGGATTGATGTGTTGATCTCTGCCTAATGACCTCTATATATATACACCCAAGGGGAAACCCTAATTAGGTCATAAGGGTAATTACGTCCATCGAATAATTACCAAATAAATATGTAGGGTATTTATTAGGTCAATGATCAATTAATTAGATAAATGATAACTCAGACCACATAATAAAATTGTGTCCAACAACCCACATCTTCAAAATTGTATGTTGTCATGTTAATTTATTTTTTTGTAGCTCATGTTTTGAAAATAAAAAATTGAACATTTTAGTTTTATTTTTTTATATTTTACTTTAATTTTAGTCTTTTTCTTTTAACTTTACTTACAAGATATGTTGCAACGCGCTTAAGGTCTCATAATTTTTTTGTGAACCTACAAGTGTGGATGGTAAGCAAATGCTCGCTTACTATAAAGATGAATATTCTTTTTTACAGAAAAGAAATTTTAAAAAAAATTGATAAAAGAATATCTACAAAAATGGTATAGACTTCAACGTAGTGTTTGGATGAGGAGAAATTGGGGAGAAAGAAAACAGAAGAAGGGAAAACACAACATTCAAGGAGTTTTCTTTTGTTTCTTTGAAAGAAAAAATGGAAGGAAGAAAGAAAAGTTGATAGGTTTCACCCCAAAATATTTTCCCCTCTAAAGTGGCAAGAAAACTACAATGGAAGAGAAAACTTATCAAATGACACCTTTGCCCTCAATTCCTTTTCATTTTTGACCATTTAAATGAGGATACAAATGTAGTTTTACTTTATCACATTTTTTTTCTCCTACCTTTCCTCTTATTCTCTATCTATCCTAAGAATAACTATTTTTTTTACTTTTCTTTTCATTTTCTCTTCTCTTCATTTTGTTTCCTCTTACTTTCTTTTCTTCAATTTTCTCTCATCACCCAAACATACCATAATCTACCTAAGAAGCATTCCCACTTGACGTCCTATATATAAATCTCTTTTTATCTTTTCACAAATTCACTCTTTTTTAGCTCTAGACTATTTCTGTTTTGGCACCTTCTATCATGTTAAAAATGAAATATGTTTATATTTAATTAGAAAAATTAATTAAATATATTATAAATAGTTTTTCAAGCAAAAAAATTAGAAAAATTAAAGTTAATAGTAGTGTATAATTAAAATTATATTGCTTGAATAGTCTTGAAGAGAAAAATATATTGATACATCTTATGAAATTAATTGAGCAACGAATTTAAAGAAAGAATCAAATTTAAAAATATAAAAAAAGTGAAGAGTAAGACTGAACCGGAAGGAAAAATAAGTTGAAAGCATAAAATAGAATGATAAAAATGAATTATATAAACAAACGAATATAAGTTTGATAAGATCTATCCTAGCTTTTTTAAAAAAAGTAATTCAGTTATTCATTTTCATCTTTTTTTCTAAATAATTGTCCAACTAGTTCAATTTTATTTTTCACTTTTTCATATTTTAAAATCATTTAAACTTTAGATCTGTGGATCAGATATTTTCATAAGATATACTACGTACCCGGAGTACCTGTTAAATTTCTCTTATAATGAATACTCCGTATAAGTTTAACTATTTCGTATAACTTACTCCCTTCGTCCACAAATAAACTTTACGTTCACTATTTACAGGGTCAAACTTTATTCACTTTGTTGGCCTATTTTCGTCACTCATTTGATAAAATAATATAGTCATGTCACCTCTAGTTTTGTAGATCTTTTGATATAATTTTTTAATATGTAATTTTTATTTTTCAATTCTACACCATTTTTCATATAAAATGATTTGAAAATAAACTCAGTCAAACATCGTAACGCGTAATGTAAAGTTTATTTGTGGACGGAGGGAGTATAAATTTCAAATTTGTTAAAACACTATTCACAATTTACTAGACAAAATATAAATAGAACCCAAAATTTTCTAGTTTTAAGGAATTTTAGTTTTAATTTAAAAATATGGGGTCTTTTACGATTTTCTTGACAAAAAAAAGGTTATGGACTAAAAAATGGCGTAATTTATTGTCTCCCCAAAATCACATTCTGAGAGTTGAGTTGTAGGCTACAGATGCGATGAGCACCCTGATATCTTCATCTTCTTCTTCTTTGAGTTCTCACACAATATCCCGCCCGGCTCTTAAAAATGGCGTCTTTAGAGCCCAATTTATCGGTAGAAGTTCAGTATTTCAAGCAAAATCGAAGAAGGATATGAAGGAGGAGGAGGTGGGGTTTAGAGCAACTGAAGTTGAACAAGAAGATAAAGCCACTTCTGGTGCATTACCATCTCCTACTATACTCCCATCACTTGATAAAGAACTCAACAAGGTGACCCCTCCCTATTTGTTCACCATTTCTTTTTTGAAATGCCCAGGAGCAAACCAGGCTGTTTTTGTAGCTATGTTGAGAATTTGAGATTAATTGCAGCTTAGTTGAGTTGGAAATTTTGTAGTTTGCTTTCATTTGAGACTATTACTTCTGTAGTAGTTATATTGGGGCTTTTGCCATTGTTTTTGGGTTTTGCAGACTTATGTATAAAAACTTTCTTTGGACCTGCAACTACAAAATTGAACTTTTAGCTGACTTGATTCCTTTACATGGTATCGAATTAATGTTTCGTGCAAGGTTTGAACAAAACCAAATGTCTTTTGCATGTGAGGGGGCGTGTTAGAGTATAATAACCTTTCCCATGTCTACAACCACACGGTTTAGCTTTTGGTTGAGTATGATTAGCGTTTTTGCACTGCCAAAATAAACTGAATCCAGCTTACTTTCACAACAATTACTTCATGGGGTTCCAAAGAAGCTTGCAATGGGAGATTTTCTGCCTTCTGGGATGAGGTTTTCAGGACTAGTGATTTGTAGAAGTAATTTGAATTGAAAAACACTCACTATCCTTTCTACCTTTTTATATAATAAACACGAAGCCAGACAACCATCGCCCCCAAGACCTAGGAGAAGTTCATCTTCATGTCTGTCTCTTAGGTGAAACATTAATATTTTCTCAATGTGGTATAGTTTTATCCAACTGTGTAGGAATCTGAAATCGAAATACATTTGTGATTCAAAATTGTGTATAACCTTTTGGCCCTAACAGGCAGTCCAAAAGACTGCTGCAACGTTTGCACCAAGAGCTTCAACCGCCACAAAGAATCCAGCTGTTCCTGGAACCACATTATACACTGTGTTTGAAGTCCAGGGATATGCCTCTATGTTGCTGGGAGGGGCTCTTTCTTTCAATCTCATTTTCCCATCAAATGATCCGGACATCTGGAGACTCATGGGGATGTGGTCCATCTGGATGTTTAGTAAGTGCCCTAATCAGCTGATCTATCTGCTATATATACAATGCCAATGCAGATAGGGTTCTAAGTTAAATGGGAAATGTGTTGGTGAAATCTATTGCAGTGATGACTTGTACATTGTGCATACTTTCTTGTACACTAGACATTTTTATTTGATTTTACCTTTTCTAATCCTTTTGCACTCTTTATTATGTTATCAAGGACGCTAAATAGTGCTGTGCAATTTATTAACTTTTACATTATGTTTACTTGCTTGCACATGTAAAAGCTTTCTGGGTTTCTGGTCATGTATTTGTTCTGTATGCCTGATTATTGATGTTTTCTATTAGTTTTGTGTCTTTTATTGTACATTTGTATCGAGCATTTATTTAATAACAGACTATGTTAGTGGGTAATTCTTCCAAGAAGTAAATGTAGTACTGCAGTGTCTGCTTTAATCAATTAAGATTTAGTATTCCCCTCATGTAAAAAAATTACTAAATGGTTTCCTTGGCTGTCTGTTGTCTTGTTTCCTGATTATTTAAAGAGGGTATCTGCTGATTTCTCTCATTTGACTACTATTGCATGTCAAAATTAATTTTGGCAAGTGAATTAAGATTTAAATACTCCGTATAAACATATGCAAGTCAAAACCTGTCGTTTAACAACATTACAACATTGTGGCTTTCATTAACTTGTTGAATGCTCTCATATATGAATGTGTTGATTGTACTACACCAATTCAATATGTTCCCATTACAGCGATTCCATCCCTTCGGGCTCGAGACTGCTCAAAGAATGAGAAAGAAGCGCTCAACTACCTCTTCCTTCTCATCCCACTGTTAAATGTTATGGTTCCCTTCTTCTGGAAATCATTTCCTGTTATTTGGTCAGTGGATATTGTCACGTTCTTTGGAGTGTATGCATGGAAGGTACATTCTTTTTCTCATTTTCTGAACTCTGCTGATTGATATGAGATCCATACTTGTTAGAAATTTGGGTTTTATTTTATATTTTTTTGGGTGCAGTTGAGATGGCTAGAGAAACAGTAATGGTCTAAAGAAGAGAGAATGGATCCTTTATGTCGATTGATTATTAGTTAGGCAGGAGGATATAAACACTTAGAGCTATCTCATGAGGCGGGCCTTCGTATGCAACCCATATGTGTTTTCTATCAAGTAAATATACATGTTTAAATACCAATGAGGTCTAGCCCAATTGGTCAGTCTGAAATCTGATCATTTTATTTCTACTAGTTGTCTCTCTACTTCCAAGACCGTACTTTTGTACGTAGTTTGTTATTCCTCAGTGGTTTCATAAATAAAAGTTGTTTTCTTTTTGTTTTTGTTTTTTGGAATATAGATTAATATATACTTCGTATATGTCAAGATACATCGTGATGCATCTGAAGCATGGGATTAAACAGTAAACACCTGATAGGTATAAGATGATTTGAACAAAAAATTTTAATTTAACTAACTAAGGACAAACTTGAAGTTCCTCCTCTTCTATACACAGTGGTCTTCAACAGGAAACTTTTCAATTTTTTTCTCTGTTCACTTTTAGTACTCTGGCCTACTTATACATTTCTTAATCAGGCAGATATATGAAATTTTCTTGAATATGAACCAAAACTTCGACCCACCGACTTAATGGAATAGTTCCATCATATGTTTCCTAAATTTGAATCAACACAGCTCTGCTAGTCCCCACTGTGATCTGTGGAAGCTGAACTGCTCTCATCGTCTGAATCACTGCTCGAACTTTCACCATCTTTTTGGTCTGATGGTGGTGTCGGATGCGGTTGTGGCTCTTCGGGTACCGGTTCATCTTGAGGAGCCACTTGTAGGAAACTCAGAGCAGCTACGACGTCACCGATCAAGGGACGAACTGATGGTTCTTCCTGGAGACACATGGCTGCAACCCCAACTGCTTGATTCAAACTTCTCACTGGAAACTCCTTGTTCAAAAGTGGATCAGCTAATTCTGGGAACCTCTTTGGTTCCCGGAAAAAGGGTTGTGCCTAATTGAAATGACATGTAACTTCAAGTGAGAAAAAAAGACACTCCATATCTTGAAACTTTGGTGAATGAGAAATTACCCCTATTCACTCATATTTCAGCTCTTACAGGTTGATGAGTTTTTTTTCGATTATTTTTTTTTTAAATGAAAGAAGGAAAGGAAGAACTTTGGGTTGCAGACTTACCCAATCAACAAGATTTTGCTCATCTGTAGGTCTTGCAGTGTCCACAGCTCGACGGCCAGTGATCAGCTCAAGCAGAACGACTCCAAAGCTGTAGACGTCAGATTTCAAGGTAAGTTCCCCACTTCTTTCGTACTCTGGTGCTGAGTAGCCATAGGTTCCCATGATTCTTGGTGTCATAGTTAACGAAGTTCCTCCTCCTCCTCCACTAGTGAGCTTGGCAAGGCCATATTCAAATAGTTTAGGATTAAAGTCTGCGTCAAGTAAGATGTTTGAGGATTTCAAGTCTCGGTAGATGATGGGTGGGTTGGCCTTTTCGTGTAGGTATTCAAGACCTTGAGCAATGCCCGAAGCTATTTTCATTCTTGTCACCCAATCTAATGGCTCCTTCCCATCATTTTTCTCTTCTGCATTTATGTATTATATTTGTTAATGAATGAAACAAGTAGGCAATCATCATCATCATCATCATCATCATCATTGTGAGTTAATATTATACAAAGTATATATTACCAAGGAGATGGTCTGCTAGAGAACCCGTTGGGATGTATTCGTAAACCAAAAGTCTCTGCTCTCCATCAGCACAATAGCCGATGAGATTGAGGAGATTAGGGTGTTTTAGGAGAGTTAAAAGTAGAACTTCTACTGAGAACTCCTTGCTCCCTTGCGTTCCATTCCTGTCTAACTGTTTCACAGACACAACCTATACACACAGAAATCTTCATTAAGCTTTTTCGCATCACACGAAGATTATTATACAAAACATAACCGTTTAAACCCAAACGTCAATGTGGAATTCTTTTTAATAGAGGTATGTTACTAATGAATACTCTGTAATATATACCTGCCCATTTTGCAGTGTTCCTTTAAATACTCTCCCGAATCCACCTTCTCCAATCAAACATTCCTGTCGGAAGTTCTTAGTTGCAGTGGCAAGCTCGCGGAAGTTGAATGCCTTGGCATTATTGGAATTTCCAGTTTCTGAGGCAGCCTCGTTGTTGCTCCCAGCTTCTGGGACAGACGCTGCTGCTTTTGGCGTGCCACTCACTGTCACAGGCGCGCAGGTCCAAAAAACAAAGGATTAGACTTCTTCATAAATAACTCAATAAGAACATGGCAGGGTAGGACCTCAAAAAATGCACATTTGATGTTCGTCAATGCCCTAAAGGTATGCACATTTAAGGTATGTAATCCATGGCCATATATAGCAAGAAAGAAGTATATTTTTGAGGGTCCATAATTTTTTTTACAAGAGGCATTACGGTACTTTATGGGTATTTAAAATCCACAATATTATATAACCAATAAATAAAATGAAATAAATGTACCAGGAGATGGTGCTGTTGTGGCAGGGGGCTGTTCCTTGGGATGCGCAAGGGGTATCTGGTCGGGTGGTGGTGGTTGGTTGTCGCCTTTGTCTTCCTCCTTTTTCTTCCGGAAACATGGAAAGCAACTCATGTCTCAATCCTCTTGCGATGGTTGAACGGATTGTACGCAGTATCTGATATGTGTCGAAGAGAATCAAGGAGAAAGAATCTGCAGAATGTTCTAATGGCTCCAACGTTTGACATCAAATCAAAATCCTTAAAAAACAAAAACATGGGACAGAGGGAGAACAACGTGGGGGTCTATCATGCATTATGAACAATGAACGCTACGCGATTAGGTATATATTCTGATATGAATGGAAATGGATCTCTACATTTTGCATGGTTTTTTTTGTTGTGTGATTGGAGAAAGAAATGAAAGGGCAAAAGGGTCCTCCAAGAAGGAGAGGAGTTGAAGGAGGACCCTAATGGAGATGAGCTTCAAGAGAATGGAGGGGAAAAATCATTAGAGAAAGAGGGAAGAAGAGAAATGTAATGTTTTTTTTTACTCATTTTTTTCTTCCCCTAAGCTTGTCTTAATATCCGGAGAAAAAGGAGGGGCTTTGAATGGATGCTTGTCATATATTGGAGTATTTTGTACATATTGTATTAGTTTTTGTGCAACTAGTTGCTGAGCCGACATGTTAAGAGCACTGGAATTGGTTCTAAAGCCGGGGGCGTTATTGGTGCTTTTAACGCCAAAGGGGCAGTAAACACCGCCCCCTTGGGGCTTCATACGGGCTTCATGTCTCATGCTTCAAATATTTAACGGGCTTCATCCATTAAAAAACAACACAAAATTACATTAATGCCATAAGATTAAATATATTTTTTTACTCTTTATATTCTTTCTCTTTAAAAAAAAACAAAACATACACAAACATAATTTTTTTACTCTATATTTTGTTGTTTAATGTAATATTTTTTTTGTTTAAATTTTTTTAGTAATGTATTTAATTTTTTTTAAATTTAACATACTTTTTTTATTGACTGTATTTTTTATTTAATGAATAATTTCAGTTTGCAATATGTTACTACAACTCGGATTTGAATGAAGATATTTTTAGTCGCTCGAATAATTAGTATTTCTTTGTAGTGTTGTTTTTTTATGAATGTAATATTATTTTAATGAATGTAACTTTTTTCTATTAATGTATTCTGTTATGAATGTAATATTTTTTTAATGAATGTAATTTTTTTAATGCACTAGTCTCCTTTTGATTAATTCAAATAATAAATTAATTAAAATTTATTAATTTAAATTTAGAAGATGTATATTTAAAAATGTAAAAAAAATGAAGGTTTGAATCCCCTATTTGAAGCCCCGGGGCTTCAAACCCATTTCCACTGAATCTGTGAGGTAAGTTAAAGCTGATGTGGCAGAGAGAGAAATTTTGAAGCCCCAGTTTGAAGCCCCGGGGCTTCACGAGTATTTCCAGTGCTCTAATGGATCGTGGGTAATCCTTGTATATATAATGATTTCAGATAAATGAATACACAATGTTATTTTCCAAAATTCTACACTCTTCGTTCTAATTTTTTTCTCATGTTGACTGCACACTATTATTACAAAAATAAAATTATACTCCATCTGTCCTAAAATAAAGTTTTTGTTGCGGTTACCATGTTTAACTAAAGTAATTTTCAAATCAATGCAGATGAAAATTGGTGTATAATTAAAAAAACTGATAATGTATATTAAAACAACTACATCAAATATTATACAAAAAATGCTAACAAAGCTATTTTTATTTTATCAAATGGTTGAAGAAAATGTATATAGTTACTAGTAAATTTATTTAATTTCATTCTGTAAATAGTAAACAGAAACCTTATTTTCGGACAGATAGAATATAACTTTTATTCTATCCATTTCAAATTAAATTGCATGTTTATTATTCATAGTGTCAAACTTCATCTACTTTCTTTCTTTATTTTCGTTAGTCATTTGCTAAAATAATATAGTTATATCACCACTAGTTTTACATATCTTTTGATGTAATTTTTCAATATGTAATTTTTTTAATTTATGTCGTTTTTCATATAAAATGATTTCAAAATAATTTTATCCAAATATTGTAAACCAAAATAGGCGATTTAAATTGGGACGGAAGGATTTAATCACATAAAGAAAATATTAAAATCACATACTTTGTGGGATTCCTTTGAGTTGCTGTGTACGGGCTGAGATCCTCTATCCTCAAATTTTGTCTCAATTCTCTATCTCACCAATCAAAATCTGACACATAACCCACTTCACTTCTTCATTTAACACAAACTCGCATAGGGGGAGGGGAGCATAATATTGTGACTTTTGTATATATAAGGGTATATAAAAAGCTACAACTTAAAATCAACTAAATTTTATTAAATTCACAACGAACTTTTTAATAATTTGTAGTCAAAATGACCAAAGAGAAAAAGCAAAACATGAAGGATAATTTCAAGATGAAGTAGGAAATGCATTATAAATACTAATTTTTGGGCCTTACATCATTGAAGAATCGAACTTGAGCTCCGCAGGGCCGCTTAAGCTGATGAGACTGTGTGAGTACTCCGTTTCATTAATTCTTCCCACACCGGACGACAGAGAAACTACATTCTGTTTTATATACTCAGGCATCGCAACTCAGTATGTCTCTTCGGGGACATCCGATAAAATTGGAACGATACAGAGAAGATTAGCATGGCCCCTGCGCAAGGATGACACGCACAAATCGA